ATGTATGTATGTATGTATGTACAGTATGTATATATATGTATGTATGTATGTACATATATGTGTGTATGTATGTATGATATATATATATATATATGTGTGTATGTATGTATGATATATATATATATATATATATACACAACTTCAAAATAAATTCTCACCCTGTACTGAAAACAGTTTCAGCATCTCAATGACACCAGCTGGTGAGGCGCGTGACGTCAATTTGAACCCCTCCCACTGGATTTGGTACTGAAAGCATAATTGAAACACAATGTGTACCATACCAAGTAGAGTAGAGCCGTGCTGTACCGGTACTACAGGTACTAATGGAAAAGGGGCATAAGGGAGAGCCCAGACACCCTGCGGAGTGGTCTATTCTATTATCTTGGTCTATTTGCATCTCTCTTTTAAGCTCCACGTGGAAAATTTGGTAATGAAACTGAAAGTTAAACTGGGTTTCTTTTTCAGAAACAGATCCTGTCTAACTCTGACTAGGAAACGCCTTGTAACTGTGACTTTCCTTCCCTCCATTGACTACGGTGACATTATTTACATGAACGCTCCTACAAGAACCCTGCAGATGTTGGATGCTGTCTATCATGGTGCACTAAGATTCATAACTGGCTGTGATTATCGTACCCACCACTGCACCCTGTATTCACTGGTTAACTGGACATCATTAACTTCACGCAGACTCTCTCACTGGTACATTTTCATTTTTAAATCACTTCTTGGTCTGCTGCCTTCATACATCTCTTACATCTTCATACATCTCCTTCTACATGTCTCTGCGTGAGTGCAGCTACAGCGTGCGCTCTCAGGACATTATTACCTGCAGTGTTCCCTCAGTGCGGACTGAACTTGGCAAAAGGGCCTTCTCCTACTCCGCTCCTGTTTCCTGGAATATCTTACAAAAAAGATCTGAAACTCTCGACATTGACCTCTCTAAGTGGCTTCAAACAACTGTTAAGTTCCTGACAAAAACCAATGCAGACATGTTCCTGTTTTTAGTTTTCTACACCGCCTTACAACCTAGCTATTTTTGTTTCCTTCGTTTAATACCATTTTCTTTCATTTGTTCTTCTCAATTAGTATGTTTTCTTTTATGATTGTCTACTGTTGTCATCACTCTTTGTTAAAATCAGGTCTCTCTTGTAAATGAGTCTAACTTATTAGTTAGTCAATGGGTCCAACCTGTATAAATAAAGGCTGAATGAATATCAAATGTGGTTTTATGCAGAAGCACTCAACTGCAGAACAAGAATCACTGGCCTGCACTGACTGACAAGTTTATTATTCAATAATTCATGCATATTTGAGTAACAGCTGAAAACAGCTATTGGACATCAACACAACTATTGCTCTGTCTCAGTCTCTGTGTAAATAAGAAAATAGCATTAGATTAGCAGCTTTAACTGTCCAAGTCGAACATCAGTGAACCATTACTGAGGAAATCAATAAATGTATTAGAGAAACTCTCCTGTTCCAACTGCTGTCAGTCAGATGTCAAAACGTTTCATTGCATGCAACAACAAAATCTGTGGTCTGGGAGCATTAGGAGGTCGTAACGTGTTGGTTGCACCTGCTACACCTGAATGCCTCCCAACATTTTTATTGTGTTACAGTGATGGATTAACAAGGAAGTGTGCCGGTAAGCTGAACCTGCTCAGTCATGCAGACGTTTAAATGAGCTTGAGTGGTTCATGTACAAACCTCAACATTTTTCATTAAATTTAAGAGACCAGCAGGAGATTTGGGGATAATTTGTCATTTGCGGTCATTTGTATGCACACACACTACTGCTATTGCCTGTGAACATTAATAAGTTTCACTCTATTAATTTATTACTTAAGCAGCGAGATGTTGTTAAATGTGATGGATTAAAAGTGCTGAAGTTATTTTATTATTTCTGATCAGCTGCTGTTAATCTGGGGATGGAGAGGTTTAGCCATTTCACTCATCGGGAGAGAAATAATCCTTCCTACAGAGTTGCTAGCAGTTAGCTTTGTCTAGACTAGAATTAGTGAGGGGTTTAATTAAAATGTTCTTTTTCGCTGCAAAGCTGCAAACACAATGGTAACTTTCAAATTTGACACATGAGGCGAGAATTAGCAGCTGTAGTCACTTCCAACCCGTGGTTCCAAAAGTAGGGTTGGAGAAAATTCAGGGGTATTTGGAAAAGCTTAGTACAGTACACGCTACTTCATAGAAAAATGGAACGAGTTGAACAAAGACTGATCAATTTTAGATGGCGAGGAAAAGACTATTTAAATTTGGGCAACTTGTGTCTCAGTTTGCCCACAGCAAGAAAAGTACTAAACTTGTTTAGTTCTGTGTTTTACTAAACTCAAAATCCTCTTACTAAATAAACAAACAAAACCAACAGACAATATGATACAATATAGTGTTGTTTTAAAGCACAGTTCTAGCATGGAAATGTTACAAATAATTTGATCGTTTTTGTTTCATCTGCCTTTAAGGTTTCGAGTCCATGCAATATTTCCCAGACATTTTTTACATGGACGTCTGAATTGAGGACACACACAGGCAGACCACACACTGCGTGCCAAAGCATGCATGACACACAGCAAGACACACACACACACACAAAGCTGGGAATCTGGCTCTGCAGATAATACTCCATTAGCCTAGGCTTCAGAAAGGCTTGCCAGACCTTCAAAAAGCTGCCAGAGTTGTTTTA